CGGGGCTGCACCGCTACCTGCGCGACTTCTGCGGCTGCCACGTGGCCTGGTCGGGCTCCCAGCTGCGCCTGCCGCGGCCGCTGCCCGCCGTGCCGGAGGAGCTGACCGAGGCCACACCCAACAGGTACCGTCCGGCCCGGGCGCCGCCCCTGCCCGAGCCCCGCCCCCTCGCTGGGCCTGCGGGCCCGACACCCCGAGGCCCTAGAAAGGGGCGCCCGCCTTCGGGTCCGCGACGCCGCCTCGCACAGCGTATTTGAGCCGGTCATTTAGCCTCTCAGGACCGCAGCTGGCCCACCCGGCAGGTGGGAATAAGACCCGTACCTGCAGTGTTGTGAGGATTTGCACCAGGGTGGGCATGGAATTTGGGGTGCATGATTAGTGATCAGTACGTGTTATTCCCTGCCTTCCCCACCCTCCTTGAGGATGCTAAGAAATGACCCCACCCTCTCACAGGCCCCTGTTCCAGTGCCTGCCACACCATGTGTAGTGGTGGCTTCACCAGTCTGTCCCCCTTTTAGACTGTGGTCAGGACCTCCCCTTCCAGGACTGGGACGGCCTTACCCTGTGGCGCACTGTGCACAGAGCAGGGACTCTGGAGGGTGGAACGGAGAGACAGCATGTCACACACATACCTTCCAGGCCAGAGGGCCCAGAGGGTCCCGGGGGGCAGGCGGGCAGGCGCCCCAGAAGCTCAGGTGCTCAGTCCCAGCCCCAGCCGCACCCGGGGTGGATCCGCAGGGAAGCAGAGGGGCCATGTCTGGAGCCCGTGCCCCAACTGGTGGAGGGGCAGTTGCTCCAGGGCCGGGCCTCCTCCCCCAGCTCCTCCGGGGCCAAGGATCCCCTCCTCCTCCACCCGCCTCCGCCCGCCGGAGACGCACCCCAGCTCACGCCGTGCCCACAGGTACCGCTATTACCAGAACGTGTGCACGCAGAGCTACTCGTTCGTGTGGTGGGACTGGGCCCGCTGGGAGCGCGAGATCGACTGGATGGCGCTGAACGGCATCAACCTGGCGCTGGCCTGGAGCGGGCAGGAGGCCATCTGGCAGCGGGTGCGTGTCCCCGCCCCTTCACACCCTCCTGCCCGCTGCAGAGGCCGTCCCACTTGTCTCTGCCAACTGTAATACCGTGCCCAGGCGGGTGTAGTTGTTTTTCTTTTTTGAGTCGGAGTCTCACTCTGTCGCCCAGACTGGAGTGCAG